CTTGAAAATTCTCTGATGCATAAAAGTATTTTTAATCTTAAAATGAAAATTACTTTACATGATAGATAGGCAACGTGCGGAAAGAGAAAAATGCATGAGAAAAACATAGCTTTACAAACCTTAAGAGTTAATAATGAAAAAATATATTTTGCATATAAAAGCATTCTAATGTTTACTGATAACCTGCCAAATTTCATTTTCATATGCCCACTAATTAAAAAGTTATAGCATGAAAACTATAATAAGCACAAAATGGTTACGAGGTCAGTCCCAGGAAATACTTAAACTAGCGCTCTGATTTCTCCACTTTATTTTACCTTCTACCCTTATAAAGTGTTTCAGTGTCAAATACTGAAAGAGTTAAGGAAAAACCTTCATCTGGAAGAAGCATGTTTAGTTTATTGTTGCTGTAACAGTCTTGATGATTGTCTTTGTTAAAACCTTCATCGGGAAGAATCATGTTTAGTTTATTGTTGCTGTAACAGTCTTGATGAATATGTCTTTGTTAAAACCTTCATCGGGAAGAATCATGTTTAGTTTATTGTTGCTGTAACAGTCTTGATGATTATGTCTGTTAAAACCTTCATTGGAAAGAATTGTTTAGTTTATTGTTGCTGTGTTATTATTTGGTGTTATAAGGTACTTTATTACTAGTATAGGATTGTTTATAGTTTGTTGATGTCTATTCCTCTCTTAACTGTTGTAGCATTATTTATGCTGATGATAGAAAGGTATGCCTTTTACAGGGTGCATATTCATCCTTGAAAGTTTTTGAAATTGAGAATGAAATTTCAAGGGCTTAAAAAGGGGCCTTTTTATGCAAAAGTACTTGAAAATATTATAATATCAGAATATATCGATATATCTAACTTTAATGCATGTCGCAGAGTTGAGTGCAATAAATAGTTTTTCTTTTCTTTCTAGTCTACACTCTTATGTTGAACAAATAAATGGGAATTTTATAAAATTTCAGTGGAATTCAATTGATTTTAGTTTCCAAAAAGTGTTTGAAAAACATTTTTGAAGGTGCTTAGAAAGTGATTGAAATTTATCTGAGCAATTCAGTATGAATCATGACTTTTATCAATTTTACTACCCCTTAAGAGTTTTATAGTGTGCTTTTTGTCACTATGACAGGAAAATTTATAGAACAAAACAATTCAAAACTGAGAATATGACATAGAGGACTTAGAAAGCAATTAGTTGGAAAGTGAAAAGTCCTGTGAGTGTATTCTCAATACAATGATGTTTATAGCCAATGTACCTGTTGTGTGTAATCCATATGGTGGGGCAGGATGTGACCTACTGTTCAGACTATGAATCTAAGGTTTATGGTTCATGTCCCACTACCACAAGAATGAACTTCATACTTTGGTGTCATAGATGTGCAATGACAATAATGTAAAAATCCACAATTTTGTCAGAAAAAATTAACCTAAAAGTAGTTGATGGGTGCCATTGACTAGCTGCCCTCCCTCTAATCTTATTGGTTCAAAGTAGCCCTTGTTTAGCTTTGTATGGAAATAAAAACAACCAATCAAAACTTTTAATATCATTGTCTGGAAAAATAGATAAAATTTCTTCTTTTCTTCTTATTTCTGGTCTTTGAAATACTGTTTTGACAATACAAACCTGTAATCAAAACTAAAAGTAGGCCTTACATCAAAATATCAACATAACTAAATTTGAAAGATGAAGAAGATTGCTTTGGTAATGATACTTACAACAGTCACATTAATATGACATAGCTAAAAGATGTTATGTATCGGTATGTCAAGAAGAAAGTGTTTTGGTTGTGGTACCCTGAAATAATGTTTTTTAATTTAGGAATTCCCAAATCTGATTAGTTATCTTTCACAATCTAAATTCAAAAAAAAAAACTTATAAAACAAGTTTCTTTACCTTCCCCAGATAATTTGCTGAATTTGTTATTACAACATATATCTTATAGGATGAAGCCCCTTAAAAAATTATACAATAAATATTTGTATGCCTTTTACAAGTTGTATTGACTAGGGGTGGCAGTTACTCAATATATTTGATTAACTCTGCATATAAGTTGGTCGTTTTGTTGTCAAAATATTACCATTATGATAGTTGTTAAGCACAAAGCTACATAGATAGCTGTTTTATGCTCTACCCACCACGGGTATTCCAACCAGGTTTCTAACATTAAAATCTTTTGTCCAACTTGTGAGAATAATCATTGTTGGTCCTCTCTCTCCCCCTCCACATACACACAATAGATTGGTGGAATGTAATCTATAAACAAATTTCACTGATCACCCAGCTCTAATCTTGACTGATTTTAAACATGACTAGAAACATTACACCATTTCAAATTTCATCGTTTTTGTTTTGTGGATGTTCTTTTGTGTTTTTGAATATGTAATTTTCGGTGTGCTGAGTAAACAAAACTATTATTCTTGAGTGTTTTAGTAATTATACATTTTCCATCATCAAAAGAAGAAAATGGTTGTCATTCATTTTATTTTGCTTTAAACTGGTAGGTGTAGACAGTGGTTTAAGTAAATGAAAGAATCTTTGTTAGAAACTGAACAGTATTATTTAAATATGTGTTTATTATATTTTCTTCATTCTGTCACTTTCCTTTTTTTATTTTACTTCTATTTGTTGCATTTTTCAAGGTATGCATATTGTTTTACTAGCTTTTAGCTAATCAGTTGAAGACCACTCATGCATGATCACTTGGTTTTCTCTACTGATTTGTCACCCAGTGTTCTGAAAATTCCATCAGTCTTGCTGTTGTCATTATTTGATTGTTCATGAAGAAGAAACAAGCTTATGAGCAATTTTTAAGGCATATTGAAGTATTATAAATTGTCACAGGTAACTTATAAACTGGTAGGTCTCTTGGTTTGTATGACTCTTCAAGCAATTCATTCCACTATGTAATGCTTAAGCCCCCAAATATAAAACATTTATAATTCTTTTGTTTCTTTGCAGAGAGGTGGTTTCGGCCGAGGAAGGGCTCCTCAGTAAAAATAAAAGTAAAATGTTGTGAGACAAGCTCTGTTTATGAAATAAATCTTTCTAACAAAGTACTTTTGGTCTGTGTGATCTTTTTTGTTATGAACAAAATATTATCAATAAACAAGCTTTTGATAATCTGTGAAATAAATAGTTGAAGTGTGTAAAACTACTGGTATTTTCACAAAATTATAAGTAATTATTCAGTTACTACTAACAATATAAGTGAAACAGAAAATGATTATTTAAGAAAAATGTTTCTAACAAAAAACTAGAACTGCTATGATGGTATAATCAAAAGACAAAGTAGTTTTAATATTAATGAAGTGTACTAAGTGGATTTTATTGTCTTCCCTTTGTTCCTAGACTTGGAGAGATTATTACCAACCTAGATGTTCATCTTATTTTAGTATTCAAAGATTATCACTTGTACTGTTGAAATCTTGATTATATTTACAAATAAAAGGCAGATTTAAAATTGGTAAATATTGAGTACCTTAATGGTCCTAAAAAATTCATACTTAAATAAAATAAAGCAATAAAACTTGTCTTGAAATTATTTGGACTTTAAAAAAAAGCTTCAAATAATAATCACAAATAGCAGATATATAAATTGAATCTTGAATCAAATTTTTCTTTAAACCAATGGATGAAATCAACATTTTGTACAAATGTAATTTCTAAAGGTCTCCCATGCAACAGAGGGAATTCCAAAGTAGTGCTTATTAAATAGAGTTTGCAATTAAGCAATTTCTATTCCTGAGTATCATCTGTGAGTTTATTATTGAATATCAAAATAACATCTAGTAGGTCCAGACGAAAAAAAAAATGTCTAGGAGCTGATACAGGAGATTCATCTGGTGTATTTCACTGCACCAGTGATTTGCCTTTTGAATAATTCTGTCAGAACTGTAAACAAAGGAAGAGATCCCTATTCATTTCCACTGCAGTGTTGATACATCATTCCTGCTTTCAAGATTGATGTTCTATAGTGATTAGTGGATGAAAGTGTTTAGACAGGATGCTGCTGAACATACTTGGTACTTTCAGCTGTGAGTGCACTTAAGTGTGACTGCAATCCTTTTATTCGGTTTAAAGAGCTGGACAAAATCGTCATGGAAGCAGTTCAAAGTTAGAAATGACCATACCTAAATCTTAGTGATTTTTGATCTGAACATTTTGTGCATATAATATGACGTTCGAGTTGAAAGTTGTATTCCTTATTCTAATTTGCTTATTATGTGATCTTGTGATATATTACAGAGTATTTAGATTAAAGAAGGAAACATAAAGTTCAATCTAAGGAAATGAAACTTGTTGGTTGTGGAGGATTGTCCATAGAAGGTTTAAGAAGAAATGTGCAAATGTTTTTGAAAAAGAATGTGAACAACTATTTACACCTTTTAAGTGTTACCCCAATAACAGTCTACCAACTATCTTGCCTTTTGTAGATCCTAGAAACGGATGCAATATGTATTTCTACTGAGCTGTTATCTGTTCAGTCCAAGACATCTTGCACATTTTCCTGTCCACAGGATCACATAGTTTTCTGTTGATTTCACACACCACTTCGTATATGAAAATTCCATCAGCCTATGGGTTATTTTTAGAACATATTAAACCATCAAAAAATTAACATGGATAATTTATTATAGACTGGTGGTATGTTGTGTAAGTATTACATTTAGAGGCGGCGCGTATAAGAGGTTCGTGGAGGTTTAGCCTCTCCAAAGAAACTGTTCCTCACGGGGCATTATTCTCACCAACTCAAAAATATTATACAGTATTTATAGAGATAGAGGGCGTATATGAATCACTGAAGACAGTTTATTCACTTAGGAAGACGAACTTATTCTTCCCAATTGTGCGACGCCCCCACATGTGACAATAGCCTACCAAAACAAAAGACTCGCTCGCTACCTTTGAGTACATTATGCTGTAATTGTTTTATTTCTCATAGTAAAAAACAGTCATAATTCTCTCGTTTCCTTCCAGAGAAGTGGAAGGTCTCTTTAGTTAAATGATGTAAGACGAGTTCATTTTACGAAGTAAAACTTTCTATGGTTTGTATGTCTCAAAAGAAAAAAAATGCAATATTTAAAACTAATGTGAAGTTCACAACTGATTTTATGAAATTTATCAATTACTACTAATACTATAAATAGAAAATAAATTAATTTAAAAAGAAAAAAAAATGTTGGTAACAAAAAGACAAACTGCAATGAGGACTTTGAAGGCCGAAAATATCGTCAACTGCAAAGCTATCCAACTGATTAAAGTATGCATTCTGATCTTTATAAGTAGGAATGGTAAAAAAAGTATATTTAATTAGCTATACTCATGACAAGTTTGATTTTTAATTTCTCTCTAACAAGTGCATAGCTAACTTTGAACGAAAGTTATTAATATAAAACAAAGTAGTTTTAAGATAAACGAAAGGTATTGAGTGGGTTTCATTGTCTCTCCTTTATGTCTAGAGATGGTACAGGTTTGGCTTTCGGTAGAGCTGGCGAACTGGGTTCGAAACCGCAAACTGTTCCCCGTACTTTACGCTGTGGTAATAACAGTGAAAACCAAGCCCTTGTTGTTGTTGGTAGAGTGCTACTGACTCTTTCCATCTGATCAGTAGTTCAGCATTTTGGAATGGTGGTTTTAGTAGCTTTACCACAAGTACAACTGTTTGCAGATAGTAGTTTCTGAACCTGGAATTGTAAATATGGTTATTAGCAACCTTGATGTATGTGGAAGGATATGGGTCTGGAGAATGCCTCA